AGGGTTTAGGGTTTAGGGGGTAAGGTTTAGGGTTTAAGGGTTCAGGGTTTAAGGGTTCAGGGTTTAGGGGTTTGAGTAACCCTAAACCCTGCACCCATTTATTCTAGGGCCCGAGGAGTCCAAGAACTCAATAATCACATATTTACCCGAACCCGGTACCATGATATCCCATTCCCAAGTACCTAGTTATTGGGTACTCGGACCCTACCCTAAACCCTAGACCGTATACATCCCAAGTACTTGGACCCTTTGGAGCATTCTTTGCTAAACAACGCTGAGGCACTGCCCATTTGAGTAGCTGGGCGTTTTTCCCCATCCTGCCTCTTGGCATCTTCGGGTAACGCATAGCTTCAGGGTTATGGTTCAAGGCCTAGGGTTTTGGGTCAAGGGATATGTAAGTGTGCTAGAAGTTGTTGGCCTGATGTACATGTAGGGTTCAAGGTTTACAGCCTCAGGGTCCAAATACCTCAATAATCGTTTACTTCCTCCAGCCATGTACTCATGTGAGGCTGCTTCAATGACCACCCCCCCCCCCCAGTTCCGGGCAGACCAATCGCGAAATGTAGGTCCAGAGAATTGGGTGTTTTCTGGGGGGGCTTTATTATTGCAACACCTTTAATACCATGATTCAGGGGCTTGGTAACGGGTGGCCTTTAGAGAGTTGTGTGGGGATTGGATTTTCAAAGCGGCTTAGTAAGAGAGCATCCCTGCAGCTTAGGGACCTGGCGGCTTGAATCTACGCTGGGCTGGCTTCGTTGAGAAAAACAATAAGGGTAGAATTCAAGAACACGTTTGATTTAAGCAAGACTCATATCAACAAAAGGAAGCAGCTTGTGGGGGGATTGCAATATTACCACCCCTTTACAAATACCTTCTGTAGGCTTAGTAATGGGTAGCCTTTGAAGATTTGCTTGGGGATTGAGGTTTCAAAAAGCGGCTTAGTAAGAGATCGATAGTTTCTGGCATCCCTGCAGCTTTGGTGTTTGGTGGTTTCAATCTACTTTGGGATGGCTCGGTTAAGAATAGCAATGAAGGCAGAATCCAAGACGTACCTTCGGTGAGCTAGGAATGAAGGACTTGATCACCAAGTAGTCCCTATAAAACCCATTATAGTAGTTTCCATGTTCTTTTCCATTCCTTAAATTCCATCTAACCAAAACCCGAGACCCTAAACCCTAAATCCTAAACCCTAAACCCTTTTGTTGCTGCGACACCCTTTTGGCTTGCCTCTGCTCAAGTGCACTGAAACCTGTGCTTCAACTTAGGGTTTAGGGTTTAGGATTTCTGCACAGAAGCAAACCCTAAGCGTCCAAGGACCCAAATAATAGTGTTTTAGGGCCCAAATACCATTAATATTACAGTATTTGGGGCCTAAAACCCTATTATTTGGGTCCTTAGACTCTTCGGTAAGTAAACAAGCAGCCAGAATTGTTGCGGACGTTGGGGCGGGGAAATTTACTACTGCCACCCCTTGATGAAAAGCACCCCCTGACCGCCCAATATGTGCATAGGGCATATGAAGCCAAACATAGGTTCGCAGTTGAAATCAGAAAATCCCAAATCTCAGATGTTGTTGCTGGCCACGGGAAATTCGTTCTTATCACCCCCCATGATAATACTCAGGCTTAAGCTGTAATCACTGCTGTTGATGCTAAAAATCCTGCATGACCGTAGATTTCCAAGGTACATGGTACTTAGGGTCATGCAAGATTTTTAGTATCCACCGTAGTACCAAACTTCTGTTGTTGGGTACATGCACCCTCACAGACTGGTAAGGGAGTGCAAGCTCTCCTCCATCCACCTTTTGTACGGGTTTAGGGTTTAGGGTTTTACTACTGCAGCTCACTTATTACCAAGTCCGGGTATCAGCAAGTCAAAGAAGTGTTGATTTTGAGGAAAAAAAAGCTTACTTACCCGAACTAGTAAGCCGCATCATTTACTACATCCATCTTACATTAACACATTCTAAATTCCTCATCAGTAAGCCTGCAAGCTCCAGCCCTTAACCCTCAATCCTACACCCCAAAATCTAAACCCTACATCCTGAACCCTAACCCTCAATCCTAATACTCTTGCCTGCGATGCTGTGTACTCTGTGGCAGATGCCCAAGCAGAGTCGTCGAAGTCCACAGCATACCAGTTGTCAGGCACGCCGTTGTCCTTCATTTCTGATGCTTCTAGAGTTTGTAAGATCTCTTTTTCGGGCTCAGTTGGGTATATTACGGAACATTATCCATAACGACAACTAGGATGTAGAGCTGGTTGTAATTAAAGCATTTTGCTACCTGGTGCAGGTGCAGGGCTCAGAGTTTTGGATATAGGGCAGAAGTGTCGTTGAGAAGTGTGCAGGAATTAGCTCCACAGAAAGCTGTATACATGGGAGACCTCGAAGCAACATGAAGAGTCTCTGTTCTGTGAAGCTCTCATATCATATATCTCACAGTCGTACAGCAAGGGGCACGGGTCACCGGCCTCTGGGTAGGCCTAGCAGTCTTCACAAAAAAACAGAGCGCGCATGCTACATCTTGAGTAGGTCCATGTTGACACGGATGCTTCTACAACAGCCATGCGCTCCCTCCCACCCTGAAATGCTGAATCCTTCTTTCTGGAGGGGCTCCCAAAACACGAATAATGTCCACTCAGTACTTATCAAGATGTTCAAGCATTTGGGAAAGGTTCCTTGAAGAGATTATTAATCTCTCAACCACAGCTACCAAAGCCCTGAACCGAGATTTTGTCATTGATTGAAAGGTCTAGGGTTTGGGCTATACCCGCCGTACACTACCCCAAGTCCGCCTTAAAGAATCACAATTATCTTTCAGCAGCCGTAATTTAGGGGGAGCCCATGATGAAACTGGAGACCCTACTTGCAAACACACAACCCCGGAACAGCCCCATACTTAAACCGTCAATCCCCTCACTTGGAGGTTGAAGGTATAGGGTTTAGGGTTTACATAACATTTTTGCCCACGAAAAAAAAAGCTTGTACCCTTAACCCACCCTTTTATAACCCTATTTGCGGACTTCGGTGGTTTTCCACTGGGTTTCTTCATACAGTTGTATTTAGGCGATATATATATATATATACATTCTGAACCTCCAGGTAATGTTGGACCCGGTTATGCATGGGCACTCGCTTTAATGTCAAGTTCGCCGGCTTATTCAGGATCTGGGAGTATGTTTAGGGACCCTCTTTAAT